ACAGGTTCAAGACCAGCCTAAGCAAGAGCGAGACCCCACCTCTAAAAATTGCCAGGTGTTGTGGCAGGCACCAAGTAGTCCCAGCTACTTGGGAGGTTGAGGCAAGAGAATCTCTTGAGCCCAGGAATTGGAGGTTGCTGTGAGCTATGATACCATGGCACTCTACCCAGGGGGATAGCTTGAGGCTCCGTCTCAAAAAAAAAAAAAAAAAAAAAAAAAGAATACATCTTAGCAGTCTTTTGTAGAGAGATGCCATGCAGGTGTTCTGGGGCAGGAGAAGTGAAAGAGTCAGAGTAAGTGGGTCCATGAAAGAAAGAGCTCTCTTTTGACTGCCTTCTCCTGCAGCATCTTAAAGATGTAATCTCGTGGCTATTTGCACCACAGGTGTAGCCTGCCAATCACTAATGCTCTCATCTCTTCGAGTTCTCCAAACCCTTCCCCATGCCCTTATCACCAAGGTGTTTCTTATGATTACTGAATGTTTCGAGCTTAGCTCTTGCTTCTCCTTTCCTTAAAGCTATATGGTCTGCTATATTCATTGAATTCATTTGTTATTGACAGTGTTGAATATTACTCGTGCCATGTAATTATTTGCTCATTTGACGGCTGTTTACATGATTGATACCATAAGACTTAGTGATAATTGTAACTCTACATTAGGCCAATTTGAGCCATAAGACATTAAGTTTGTCCCAAAATTGCAGCTAATTAATATGACTAGCATATAAGATTTATGTAGTGGGTTCTGCTAAATAAACATACCTTGAGAAATGGAGTCTTTTATCTAATTGATTAAGAGAAGATCATTTAAGAATGTGTCCTCATTTCAAAAATATTAAGAAATGAGTATAATTGTGATGGATGTGTTACTTAGTTCAATGTGAACATTTCATGTTGTATATCAAAGCAATACGCTGAACCCCATAAATGTATCAATATACAAAGTTATGATTTAATAAAAATAATTAATTTTAAAAAATGTTTCCCCCAAAAAAGAATATTTCCTATACCATAGTTCTTAAAGTGTGTATTGTATGAGGGTCTTTTGATAGCTCTGTGTCACCCTTTATTAAGGTATAACTCTTGTGTCAGATCTTAAAAAATTCTGAGAATTGTGGGACTTTAAGACATCATCTAATACTGCAGTCCCCAGCCTCCTGGCCAGGGACTGGTACCAGCAGCCTATTAGGAACCAGGCTGTACAGCAGGAGATGACAGTGGCAGACAAGTGAGCAAAGCTTCATGTAGATTTATAGCTGCTCCCTGTAGCTTTCATCACCGCCTGAGCTCTATCTCCTGTTACATTGTTGGAAGCATCAGATTTTCATAAGAACTTGAATCCTACTATAAACTGTAAGCCAGAGATCTAGGTTGCATACTTCTTAAAATCTAATGCATGTTTTGTATAATTTAATGTCTGATGTTCCAAGGTGGAGCTGAGTCAGGTAGTGCTGGGGAGCAGCTGCAAATACAGATTCTCATTAGCAGAGAGGTTGGACTGCACAGAGACCATATAAATTAATTGTTTGCAGACCCAGATCAAAGCTATCCTCCCCACCCACTACCAGACCATGGAAAAATTGTCTTTCAGGCTCAGCGCCTGTGGCTCAAGCGGCTAAGGTGCCAGCCACATACACGTAAGGTGGCGGGTTCGAATCCCCAGCCCGGGCCCGCCAAACGACAATGATGGCTGCAACCAAAAAATGGCCAGGTGCTGTGGTGGGTGCCTGTGGTCCCAGCGACTTGGGTGGCGGAGGCAGGAGACTCGCTTGAGCCCAGGAGTTGGAGGTTGCTGTGAGCGTGATGCCATGGCACTCTACCCAGGGGGATAGCTTGAGGCTCTGTCTCAAAAAAAAAGAAAGAAAAATTATCTTTCATAAAACTGGTCCCTGGTGCCACAGTTGGGGACTACTGATCTAATCTGTCTCAATTCTCAGGTTTGGAAAGGTTCCTCTTTTTGTTTTTTTGGAGTTTTTGGCCGGGATCAGGTTTGAACCTGCCACCTCCAGTATATGGGACTGGTGCCCCACTTCTTTGAGCCACAGGCACCACCCTCTCTTCATCTTTTTTTAAATCTACAAAATGGACATGTAAATATAGGGTTATAAAAATTTTCAGACTTGTCCCTGTGACTTCTAGCTTTTTGCCCAATTATTGTAAAATACTTTCATAAATACAGATAGGCATTACCAGCAGATAATAAACATAAAGTAGGCAGCCAGGTGTGGTGCCTCAGACCTTGTAATTGTAGCATTAGCCAGGCATTGTGGTGGGTGCCTGTAGTTCCAGCTACTCAGGAGGCAAAGACAAGAGAATCACCTGGGCGCAGGAGTTTGCTGTGAGCTATGATACTATAGCACTCCACCTGGGGACAACAGAGGAGACCGTCTCCAGATAAACTAATAAATAAAGTCGATAACAATAGTGATGTGACTTTTCTTCTCATCGTACCTGTTCACTGATAGCTTATCTCTAAGTGAGCTGAGTTTTTAATTCCTCTCCAAATTCAAAGCTCAGTTATTCGAGACATAGTAGGCCAGTCATTTTTAGCACTGCTTAGGACTCCAGCCAGTGACATTGCTTAGTTGTTATTCCAGCCTAGAGACTGAATTGGGTTGAGTGGTCACTAAGTAAGTGATTTCCCCCTTATCCTGGTCTGCCTGTGATTGGATCATACTTGATATGGTAACACTTTTACCAGGTTCTTCCTCATTTACATTATAGCTCTCTTTAGGATAAGGTCAACTCCATCAAAAGCAGCTTTTTTCTGCAAATTTGTTAGATGTTTTCTGTAATTGAATATATGCCTGTGGTAGTTGCATAAAAGACTACTTTAGCTGTAGTAGTACTACACAGTTCTTTGAGAGGAAAGTATGTTAATAAGGATATATATGTATCAACTCTAGAGGTTGGCTAAGACAAAAGCTGTCAGTAGACAATAAGCAGACCCTGATTTTGCATATTTCTTTTGATTTTTGTCTGTTAATCCTTTAAGTTAAGCAAGAGATTATTACATTACAGATAACTACAGTAGAACCTCCATAGTTGACCACCTTCCTAAGTTGACCTCATTTTTCATAGATCAGACATATCTACACCACATCTACATATCAGTATCAGTACAGTAGCAATGGTTCCTTATGTTGTCTAGTTTGTTACGGTCCCTTGTGTGGTCAGCTTACAGGGGTTCTCCTGTATAAATTTTTAGGCAGCAAACTACCTTTAAGGATGTTAACCAGTCATAACACTCAACCATGGCATTTCTATTTACCTATCTGGAACTGATTACAACTGTACATGTATAAGCTCCTTTATATATGTTGATTTAAATACTTAATATAGACTATTAGCCCATTTTTATATAAAATTGAGGGCTCAGCACCCTTAGCACAGTGGTTATGGCACTGACCACATGTACCGAGGCTGGTGGGTTCAAACCCAGCCTGGGCCAACTAAACAACAATGACAGTTCCAACCAAAAATAGCCGGGTATTGTGGCAGGCACCTGTAGGCCCAGCTACTTGGGAGGCTGAGGCAATAGAATCACTTAAGCCCAAGAGTTTGAGGTTGCTGTGAGCTGTGGCACCACAGCACTCTACCGAGGGCAATATAGTAAAACTGTTTCAAAAAAAAAAAATAGGGAGTCGTGAGTACATCACTTGGTTAAATGAAGGTCATATTATGGTAATGTGGATAATTTTGTTTTCTTGCCATAATAAAAACAGCAAGAAATATTTTTCTGTAAATTGGCTATATCTAAAACAAGTAAATTTGATATTATGATCTTAAAGTTTTATAATTCTTAGCATTGCAGAGATGAATTTACTCATAGTGATTATTTTTTTTTTTTAATTTCAGGTTCATGTGAGGAACCTAATTTTAATTTTGGGTTGGGTATTAAATCAAACTACTTTTTTTTCTCTTTTACTTTAACTTCAAGATTTTGCAGAATGAACTAGGTGAAATGTCTCCCTTGGGTAATGAGGAAGTTTCAGCAGTTAGCCAAGCATGGTTTACAACTAAAGAAGATAAGGATTCTCTGACCAACAAAGGTAAGATGCACTGTGAATTTTTATGTCTATTAGATAAAAGGCAGACAGAAAGGGCTTGTGGTCATTGAGATTTTCTGGGTTGGACCTTCATCACCAGTATTGAGTAGTTGTAGTGATTTAACTTTTCTAATTGAATTAAATTTGGCCTTGAATGACTGAATAAGGCCATGAAACATTTGTTTTTCAGTAATTACTACTAAATAGCTTTTATTGCTAATTTTTGGCAGTGTTAAGAAGACAATACAGCCAGGCACTCATGTCTGTAATTCTAGCACTCTGGGAGGCTGAGGTGGGTGGATTACTGAGCTCAGGAGTTCAAGACCAGCGTGAGCAAGAGTAAGACCTGGTCTCTAAAAACGAACCAGCTGTTGGGGCCTGTAGCCCCAGCTATTCAGGAGGCTGAGACAAGAGGATCACTTGAACCCAAGAGTTTGAGGTTGCTGTGAACTATGACACCACAGCCCTCTACCCAGGGTGACAAAGTGAGACTCTGTCTAAAAAAAAAGATAATGCAGTTATTGGTTATAAAGAGTAGGGAATCAGGCCTTTTCAAGGGTCTGCTAACCTTGATTTGATAACTAAGCAGCTTGGAGGCTGGGGGAGCTGTTACAATAAAGTGGAGATTGTATATATGTCACACTAAACTATGAAAAGGAAGTAGAAATAAGTGAATTGATTGTTTCCAACCACTGTACAATAAATATACACCTTAAGATAATACATTATTTAGTTGGCATACGATGTATTGTTTTTTTACCTTGCCCTAAATTCTTTTGTACATATTCTTTTGCCTCAAAAGTTTTTTGCTGGAGAAATTTTCAAAAAGTTATGAATGTGATTTGGCTTTTCTTTCTCTTTCTTTCTTTTCCTTTTTTTTTTTTTTTTTTTTGAGACAGAGGCTCATGCTGTTGCCCTCAGTACAGTGCCATGGTGTCACAACTCATAGCAACCTCCAACTGTTGGGCTTAAGTGATTCTCTTGCCTCAGCCTCCCAAGTAGCTGAGACTATACGCACCCGCCACAACACCCAGCTATTTTTTGGTTGCAGTCATCATTGTTGTTAGGCAGGCCTGGGCTGGATTCCAACCCAGCTCTGGTGTATGTGACTGGTGCCCTAGCCACTTGAGCTACAGGCACCAAGCCGGCATTTCTTATTTTTAACACTCTTTTTAGCAGTTCTATAGCTGAAAGGATAATAGAAATAATATTTGTCTAGTCTTCTGATTACCATTCACTTTTTTTAGTGGGGTCAAATATATTCTTACTTAGAAACCAGCTTTACCTGGGGATCTCCTAGATGAATGAAAAATTAAATTAGCTGTATTTTATTCCCACAGATAATTCCTTCATAAAGGAAATCTTTGGTTAACTTAATCACAAATAATGTCTTTCGTATCTTATTCTTCTCAAGGAGTAACAGTTTCTATAACATTATTTATTATTTTTTAAAGGACATAAATGGAAGCAGGGGATGTGGTCCAAAGAGGAAATCGATATTTTGATGAACAATATTGAACGCTATCTAAAGGTATCTTATGGCATACTTTTGTGTTTCATTCACTGTCATTTGCCAAAATACCAAACCAGCATACTGTTTGTGTATAAATTAGAAGCTTTTCACTAATTTTTGTAACAGATGATTGGCTAATATGTTGTAGCTTAATAATTCTAAGGTATATGATTATAGTATATTTGTAATCAAATTTTTAATTTTCAGTTTAAAATAGTTTTATTGCTTTAGTTGCCACCCTGTAGTTTAGACAGAATGGTAATAGCCTCTCAACATCTTAAAACCCTTTTTAAGCAGTCTGTAAACTACGTTTTATATTTTCTAAAGCTTAAGATATGCATCTTCTTTGAGTGAATTTATGACATGTTAGTCCTCCATTTTTAAAACAATTACAATTTTAATTTATTTTCCTATTCAGGCTTACTTTTTGTCAGCTTAGTCCTCTTCATTAAATGTTCTTTAAACATAGTATTTTTGAGGCACTAGAGCAGCAGTTCTCAACCTGTGGGTCATAACCCACAGGAACTGTATTAAAGGGCCACGGCATTAGGAAAGTTGAGAACTACTCTACTGGAGTATTAATTTCCTTTACATACATTGTTTGCTTTTGAAAAGCCAGTAGTTAATTTGGGAAAGCTGAAAAATAGGTGAAGCATGATACAGGATTTATACAACATAAGTGATACATGTTGTGAGTTCTGCACAAGTTCATAGAAGGAAGAGTTTTCTCAGAATTAAGACAATTACAGAAAATTTCTGGAAGAGCTAAGATTTGAGCTGAGTCTTGAGTAAAAGGGACAGAACTTGGGCTGGAGCAGGACCAGAGGCAACAGCATGAGCAATAAGAAATCAGTGGTTAATACCAGAACATTATAAATTAACCCCTTACCCAAGATCAATAGCCTATGGAAAACTGGGCTTTGAAGTCTAAGCTGCAGACTAAGAATTTTATCCTGTAGGACAGGGGTCCTCAAACTTTTTAAACAGGGGGCCAGTTCACTGTCCATCAGACCATTGGAGGGCCGGACTGCAGGCCCCAGGACGAGTCAGCTGCTAAACAGGACAGCAGCGGCAGCAAAAACACCCAGTGGGCTGGATAAATGTCCAAGGCAGGCTGCAGTTTGAGGATGCCTGCTATAGGAAGTGAGAGGCACTAAATGGTCTAAGGAGAGCTGATAACTTGGTTAAAAGAGAGGTTAGTGGACTATATTTTTCTCAAGGAAATTACTGGAGACTTGCTGACCATTCCCATACTGGACTAGGTTAAAGTAGTCTACTGGTCACATGCACTTTAGTGAAAACTGGAAAATGCTATGGGTTTAGATAAGGCAGTAATGGTAGTAAACTCTGGGGATTAAAAAGCTTGTCTCATGTCTGGCAGATTAAAGTAGATGATTTCGAAGGACCCTTCCAGTGATTAAAGGACAGTGGGATTTGAGACCTTTCTGTGGAACCATTTCAGTAGACTAGGTGAGAATGGCAAGGGTTTAAACTGTAGTGGTAGAAATAGAATTGGTAGGGAAAAGGCCGATGAGCAAGTAGTCTGTAAGGAAGACTAGTGACTGGATGCTGGGAAAGAAGAAAAAGGAGGAGTAGGGGTAACTGCAGGAGTATTTATTTTGTTGAATAATTAGAAGAAAGATGATAGGGGCAGAGCGCATAGTTCAACGGCTAGGGTTCTGGCCACAGACACCCAGGCTGGCAGGTTGGAGCCCTTCCTTGCCCGGGCCAGCTAAAACAACAGTGATAACTGCAATAAAAAGAAAAATAGCTGGGCATTGTGGCTGGCACCTGTAGTCCCTGCTTCTTGGGAGGCTGAGGTAAGAAAATCACTTGAGCCAGGAGTTTGAGGTTGTTGTGAGCTGTAATGTCAACGGCACTCTACCCAGGGTGACAGTTTGAGGCTCTGTCTCAAAAAAAAAGAAGAAGGAGGATGATAGGATTGGCAGAAATAGAAATAGGAAATGTCCCCAAAGTGCACTGCTTTGGAAAAAGATACATTTCTTCGGTTTTTACTTTTGACTATGCTTTTTATTATGTTGTACTTTTCTAAAAACACTGTAGAGCCAGTTTTAAACATCATAAAATTCCACTTAGTTATTAGATGTTATATATTTCATATTTCAGGTAAAAGGATAAATGAAAGAAATTGCCACAGCAAGACAAAGGGCAAGGAGGGCATGAGGGCAAAAGAATCTTTCACTGTGTGGGCACCCTACAACACACTGTGCCTTGCATGTAGGAGCTCAGTAAATAGTTAGTTTCAAAATTGGAACTGCATAAATGAAAGAATTTTAGAAAAGATTCTAATACTTTGCAACTTTTTACTATGGTATTTCATACATTCAAAGGTGTATAAAATATACCCAGTGTGATTTTTATCTATCTGTGAGTATTCCATAACTTGCTGCTTTGCTCAACATTATGATTTTGAGATCGTCCCCTATTAAATTGTTCAGTTGTATTTCATTGTGCAGTTACCCATTTCATAGTTAATGGTCATATGAGTTTTTTTGCTATTAATTTGTACAAATCTGGTGTGTAGGAAAGGTATTTATTATGGTTTTAAATATTTACTGGCTATTTGTGTTTCTTTGAAGTTCCTGTTTATGTCTTTTACCAATTCTATGTAGTTGTTCATCGTTTCCTTTTACTTAGATGTTCTTTTTTTGTTGTTCTTTCTAGACAGTCTCACTATGTTGCCCTCTCAGTAGAGTACCATGACGTCACAGCTCATAGCAACCTCATACTCTGGGGCTTAAGCAATTCAGTTGTCTCAGCCTTCCAGGTAGCTGGGACTACAGGCACCCACTAGGGCACCCGACTATTTTGTTGTTGCAGTTGTCATTGTTGTTTAGCAGTCCTGGGCCTGGTTCGAACTTGCCGGCCCCAGTGTATGTGGCGGGTGCCTTAACCACTTGACTGTGGTCCCCAAACCTACTTAGATGTTTTTAATGTATGCTGGTTACTAAAGGTTTATTGTTCATTTGTATTATAGATATTCCGATTTAGTGGCCTGTCTTTCCCTTCTTTCTCTTGTAGGAGTCACTTGATGAACAAAGATTCTTAATTTCAAAATCATTTGTATCTTTTTTTGTTTTACATGTTTAAGAAATCCTTCCCTGGTTCAAATGCATGAAGACATTCTCAAGCATTATCTTATGGAAGTTTTATTTATTTCCCAAGAGGTTTTCAATTTTTCTGTTTTTCTGTATAAAAGACTATTGTCTCAGCACCATTTATGGAACCTCAGTCGTTTTTCCAGTCTACAACATCCATTCTGTCCTAAATCAGAAATTCATGGATTTGTTCCTTGGTTTTCTAATTTATTTCCAAGTTCTCTTTGTTGATAATGCACCAGTACAGCATTATCTTCAGAACAGTATCTGATGGGGCAAATCTCTGCATAAGTGTCTGGCTGTTCTTGGCCATTTGCTCTTAAAATCTGTTTTCAGAGCATGAAAAACTGCTGAATTTTATTGTGATGGGATTGAATTGTACATCAGTTGGGGGTGGATTAATATCTTCATAGTATTTCATCTTCCAGTTGAACAATGTGGTGTATAACTCTTCGTTTTAGTTACTCTTTAATGTCTTTCAATAAAGTTTTCATATCTTGCCTCAGACTTAGTCCTATTGCTTTTAATTATGATGCTTTTGTAAGGGAGAACCTTTAAAAATCTTTCATAATCTTTGTATAGGAATGTAAATGACTTTATATCACTTCTGTACCTAGAAACCTTGGTAAGATACTCTTTTTCAGATAAAATAACTTTTTCTTAGTTTTTTTAGTTCATAATGTTAGCTGCAACTGATTGTTCATTTCTAGTGGTTGTATATTTTGTATTTTTTTTTATCAAATTAGGAACAAATCCTGATTTGCTAAGTATTTTATCATATGTATATTGAATTTTATGAATGCTTTTCCATATCTGTTGAGATTTTACTTTTTTTACATAAATCTGATGTGGTTAATTATATTGATGATGTCTCTTAAATTAACACAGACTTATATTCCTGGACATTTGTGGATTAACTTTCTTATACATTGCTGGGTTCAGTGTGCTAAAATATTATTAGGATTTGGGGGTTTATGTTAGTGAATGGGCTTAACCTGAAATTCTTTTCTGACACTGCCTTTGACTAATTTTGCTATTGAGGTTATGCTGGCCTGATTAAATAAGCAAGGAAGTCTAGTGTATCTACTTTTTTTCTTTCATTTTGTTCATTTTTTAGTTAGTAGAGATGAGTTGATATCTTGATATGTTGCTCAGGTTGGTGTTGAACCCCTGGCCTCAAGCAGTCAGTCTTCCACAGCACTAGGATTACAGGTGTAAGCCACTGGTGCCAGCCCCCACCTTTTTTCTTTATTCTAAAATAGTTTTAAGATCAGAATTATATGTCTCCTGACTATTTGGTAGGATTTACTTGAAATGCCATCTGGGCCTGGTTATGTTCATTGTGGGAAGATTATTAGTAACTGATTAAATTTTCTTGATGGTCAGTGCCTATTCAATTTTCTGTCTCTTTCAGAGTCAGTTTTGGCAAATTGGCTTTTTCTAGGACTGTATTCATTTTATCTAAAGTCAAATTGATTGCCATTAAGTTGTTTATAATGTTCTTTAATTAACTGCCTAATCTCTGCAGCATCTCTACTGAGGGTTCATTTTTTAATTTCTAATATTATTTGTGTCTTTTTAAATTTTGCCAGAAGTTTATCATTTAAAATTTTATTACTCTTAAAGGATCTTTTCAAAGAACCAATTTCTAGGTTTGTTCATTCTTTTTATGCTTTGATTCCTGATTTCATTAATTTTGCTCTTGTGGTTTTCTTCTGCCTTTTGATTCATTTTTCATTTTTTATAATTTTTAAGAGGAGTTGACAGAAATTGAATTTGTTGAATTTGATAGTTTATTTTTGAAAATTTAAGTATCACTTCATTATCTTTCTCAACATTTTAAAGTTCATATTTGACTTGTTAATGAATTAGCAATATATTTTCTAAATGACATTGATGACCTTTAACATTAAAACAAGTTTTGAAAGCATAGTATATCCTTATGCATTTTATCAGAAATCCCTAAATCAAAGAAATGTAACCCATTTAGGCACGCGGAATTAAAGATGCTACAGAAATCATCTTTGAGATGTCAAAAGACGAAAGAAAAGATTTCTACAGGACTATAGCATGGGGTCTGAACCGGCCTTTGTTTGCAGTTTATAGAAGAGTGCTTCGCATGTATGATGACAGAAACCATGTGGGAAAGTATGAAAACTTGTAATGCTGCATGTTTTCATGTAATTAGGGAACATAATTAAGAAACTGTCATTTTTTAAAAAAAATAGAATCATAATTAGGGCCTTAATTAAAGACAGCTATGAATGATTTTTGAGTGAATATTTTTATCCTCTAAGTCCATGTTGTAAATGTGGTGAAATTTCACCTCATTATAATAAGTCCTCTCAAAGAAATTTGAATCTAAATCACTTTATATTAGATTTACTTAATATATCAGAGTCTGCTTTGTAGTGTGATAACATAGAAAGTATGCATGTTAGAAGTATACGAAAGAAGCATACGAAAAAACTTTAAATTCCTTGGTAACATTTTTCTTATTGGTTTTTTTAGAATATAGCATTCCTAAGTCACTGACTTTTTTTTTTTTTTTTAACTAAACCAGACTGTAAAATAACTGTATGTCTGGAAATAGTACACAAGTTTCTGGTAAAGGTAGCATTTATGGGAAGGCATTATTAAGATTTCTCTGTGCACTGGTTTTATGTTGCTACTGTCAGACTTTTAATCTCTTTGGAAACTTTTTTTTTTTTTTTTTGAGACAGAGTCTCACTGTGTCACCCTTTGTAGAGAACTATGGCGTCACAGCTCACAGCAACCTCCAACTCTTAGGCTTAAGCGATTCTCTTGCTTCAGCCTCCCAAGTAGCTGGGGCATCCTCCACAACGCCTGACTATTTTTTTTGTTGCAGTTCTTGTTGCTGTTTAGCTGGCCTGGGCTGGGTTTGAATCCAGCAGCCTGGGTATATGTGGCCAGCACCCTACCTACTGAGCTCTGGACACTGCCCTCTTTGGAAATTTTTTGTAGCAGTAGTGTGGCTTACAAGTTATTGCTGAGCCACTGGTGCAGCTTTTCCTCTATCTCACAGCAGCCTGCTAATGAAAGCACATTTGAGAGCTGAAGAAAATTAAATGATGTTTGTATGACAGTAGAATAAGAATTTTTTTTTTTAATGGAGCATGAATGACTTCCAGCTAACTATTCATCAGTTTTCCATGTACTTCCATTGGTTACAAAGTGACCAGCCTTTCTTAGTTACCAAGTGAACCGTGCTTTTAAAAAGAACATTGCATTGACTCTTCTGAAGACTTGACTATTGAAATAAAGAATAAGAGTATGTCAGATGTCCGTGCCTGGGTAGAGGAAATCTAGAGAATCTTAATTTTTTTTAATGCCTTAAAAGAATTTGGCATCAATTTCGTTCACTCTAGTTTAAAATGTCATCCATAAGTTTTTCAGAATAGTTACGTTATCAGTTATACATTACTTTGAAATAAAGGCAATATTAAGCAGCATTGGGGCAAATATGTTTTAAATATTTAATTTTCCTAGAGAAAACTGTACAGTGCTTATCTTTTATTGTGACTAAAAGTGTTTACTATTGGTGCTTATTAAAAGTGGAAATTATAAATTATAAAACAGTGAAAATTAGAAGCCTTTATTTTTACCTTTAAGTAACCTGCTTTAAATTAAGACTCCTTTAAAATATTATCAGTATGCTAAGTAATTTATCATTCAGCTTCCTGAGTGAAATTCTGATTTTTAATTAACATTGTTAGGAATTTTTGTTTTAATTGATTTTTTAAAATTTCTCTTAATTTCTAGATATACCCCTGAAGAAATTGAGAAGCTCAAGGAGTAAGTTTTAAGTTTTTATTCCTTCATTAATTCTGTTTGTTTTTCATGTCTTACGTTTTTAAAAGTTTTACTTTGAAACTTTCAAAAGGTTTTTGCCAGACTGGTGTAACTTAATTCTACTGTTAAGAATAATTTACCATAAAAAGATCGTAACTAGATCCATGCCTACAGAGAATAGCCATGCCCATAAAGTATAAATTTAGTCTCCTCTTGTCGGTCACCAAATGTTTTCTGAGACCTCTAATAGGGGGTTCCAGATGAGATTAGATTAGATGGCCTTTTTTTTTTTTTTTTTTTTTTTTTTTGGTGGCTTGAACACTAAATTTGGGTAATTTATATACCACTATCTAAATCAGGTTGTAGTACATCACTTAGTTTAGAATGGAGACTTGGCAAATATTTCACTGAAATCTGAGCTAACTCTATGTGATAAAGCAATTGAATGTCAGGAAACATGATTTTGTTTCGTTTAGTTAGGATCGTAAGGTATACTTTAATGAATTATATAGATCATGAAAAAATTGAAGGTAGATTCTGTTTATGATGGTAAAGACCTATGGAACTTTTTCAGTTAATTTGAAGAAGAGTTTGTTAGGTGACTGCTCAAAAGGGAAAAATCTGGGGCTTGCCTGGGAGATTATGTCAATAACCTGAGGGGAAATTTGGTCTTTTTTGAACACATATCCAAGTTACTTATTTCTTCTCTGACCCAGGAAAAAGGCAATTGCTGCCTGTTTTTTTTCACCCACAGACAACTGTGGACCCCAAAAAAAGGCCACACTTTCAAACTTTGGCTCTCAAAGTATTGCTGCCCACAACTTCCAAACCAGTCAAATGGGAAGAAGAAGAATGAAGAATAAATGATGAAATTAAAAGGGAGAAAACAGTTGAACCAAATGCTGATTGGCAGACTCTTGTTTTAGGCTCCGGATAAAGCATGGCAATGACTGGGCAACAATAGGGGCGGCGCTAGGAAGAAGTGCATCTTCCGTCAAAGATCGGTGCCGACTGATGAAGGATACTTGCAACACAGGTACTTCGAGTGCTACTGGTGTTATTTCTTCTCACCGTTGCACCTCTAGCCCTTTCAGATACTGTCCTCTCGTTCTGGGGGAAAAAATTGTCAGTCACCTCAGTTCAGACTTTTCTGGTCTTTCTTTTTCTTCAGCTTACCCAACTTTTCTTTTACTTTGTTTTTGTATAAGGTGATATTGTTCACAGAGATATATAACCTCAGTTTCTAGCATGTTTCAATTTTGTAGTGATTTAAAACTACTCCAATTGAAAAAGTATTTATTTTTAAGGCCTAGTTACAGGAGGTAATTTTATTTTAGGCCCATCTAATCATTCAATTTACATTCATGATGAGCTTTTCAACATGTGTCTGTGAAAAACTTTACTCATAAGCAAGTCCCAAGAAAAAGCTTGTGTTCCAAAGGTTTATATGTATTTCATTTATTTCAAACGTGGAAGTATATTTTTCCATAGAAAAAAAATTTTTTTTCAGGCCCTAGGCAAAACCATAAATGCCTCTTAATCTATACAGATGTACTAATATTACTTTTAAACCTTGGTGACCAGCAGTATTTAGGCTCTGCCATTGTCAGTTAACCTTTCTAAGTCTCCTTAAACTTCTATAAAATGAAGAGGTTGGAACTACAATTTCATAATTCTCTTTTAGCTGTAATATTCTCTAAAAGGTCCACAATGTGTGCTCTTTCAATTAAAAAAAAATAAAAATAGTTTTCAAGTTTGGTGTTAGATTCTAGGGCATATATTTATTTATCTTCATCCCCCCCCACCTTATTAAAATGAAATCCCAATGTTTCCTCCTCAGCTGGTGCACCATCACTACTACCTGCAAGGCAGTAAAAACATAATGTTCCACCAACTCTGTCATTTGGTGACATGGCTAACTTAATGAATGAAGGCAGAGTTGACAGTTTCAGGTTTAGAATAGGACCCTAGAAGTTCACATAAAATACTGTGACTACAGAACCCCTTTTGTTAACATGATTTGAGAGGACGCTGCTATTCTCTCATTGCCACTTTGAGGGATTGACCTGCCCCTTCCTTCTTGTGTTGCAGCATACAATTTCTGATGAGTTTTCTCCGGTGTTCCATACCATGAAACAGCACAATCTCAGAGTATTCCCTTCCCTTTGTATCATGCTAAGCGTAGGAAATAGGATGTTGTCTTGAATTCTATCCATAGTATCCAGAACTGTTCTTAATATAATAATAAACATTCAGTAAATAGTGTGTTGAATGAGTAGATACTGAAGCAGGCACATAGTCTTTTTGATATTTTCTATAAGTTTTTAGCTACTAGTAACAGAATGGAAATAGCAGTAAAGGTTTTTTTTTTAAGTGGGGTTCCCCCCCTATTTTTCTGCTATAGCTCCATAAGAAAAAACCCAGAAGAACATTTGATACTATTTTTTATTGGATGTATGGGTTCAAAAACATAATGAATAAAAACTTGTGTAAGTTTGGACAATAAAGTTCGTGAACTCATCCTTTTGCTACATACCTTGTTGCTAATTATCACTACAGTCACCAGATGGCTCAGGAAAGTGCTTTGAAGATGACCATAGGGATATTCAGCAATGAGGTATGTAGTACTTTTTCTAGGTCTAGTTTGCGAACTTAATTGTCAGACCTCTTACATTGATAGCTCTGATGGGCATTTCAGAAAAAGACGTCCAGAATTGCTCTAAAGGGTGGGTTAGGTGCTGGTGTTAGTATACTTTTTCTACGATGAGTTCACAAACTTAATTATCCCGCCTCATGTAAATATCAGTGTCAAACTTACTGATATTTCATCAAAGTAGATTGGAGTTGAGATAGTAAGGAAAAAAGATGGTATAACTTGAGTACATAATTCTTTGTGTTATAGTTAGGTTTGTGGGTAGCTTTTCTTATAGAGTCGGTGTTGTCCATTAGGATTCTGTATTTTCTTTTATATTGAGACTGTTAGTAAAGTACAACTGTCTAGTAGATAGGTAGTTTCCCACCAGAGTCATTCAGAAATAAACTCTTAGTACTTCTGCATAATACCATCAGTCCTTATAAAATATAGGGCTGAATCAGATTTGTAAAAGGAGAAGGTAGCAGTGGTAGTCTGGATGATTTCCTTCTTTCAGGGAAATGGACAGAAGAAGAAGAAAAGAGACTTGCAGAAGTGGTTCATGAATTGACAAGCACTGAGCCAGGTGACATAGTCACACAGGGTGTGTCTTGGGCAGCTGTGGCTGAACGAGTGGGTACCCGCTCAGAAAAGCAGTGTCGTTCTAAGTGGCTCAACTACCTGAACTGGAAACAGAGTGGGGGGACTGAGTGGACCAAGGAAGATGAAATCAATCTCATTCTCAGGTTCGTGTCCTAAATCTTTTTAATGACAAAAGCTGTTTAATTGCTGTAGATGGCCTGATTGACTATTTTCTTTTGGTTTCCCTAGATGCCTAATATCTGAAAAATATCCTTTCCATAGAGAGCCACTGTTTAAGATCCTAAGTATTTCATATTGAGCTCTTTTTTGTTTTGTGTTTGTTCCTTTTTAGTGGATTTAGTGCTCGTGCAGAGTACCAGATTGAAGGCGTGGAGACTGAAGTCCTCTCTGTATCCACAGAACAGGTACGGCACAGGCAGCGGCAGTGCAGCTTTTCCACTGTCCCACCAATGTGCCTCAGTCCTAGCCTCTGGGGAACATGTTTAGGGCTAAGAGGGCTATCAGTCTCCATGCCCTTCAATCCTTGGCTACTGTGCTAAGATTGCCAAAGAAGGGGCCCCAGTCTACAGTTAACTCCACACCTTCCAGTTGGACCAAATCAAATATATCCATGTCATAAAAATCCAAAAATATTAATAGATTTAGGCAGTAATTCCACCGTCTTTAAGTATTAAATTGTCCTCACCATTAGGACTCAGACTAAAATGGGCAAAAGTATCAACAAAAAATTATTTAAGACACCAGAGTAATAGAAACTAGCATTGTGGCTGCTCCCTATTGAAAGTCAAAATCACCATGATAGTGGAAGCTAGAAAATGAAGATTTTTTTTTTTTAACCCCAAACTTAGTTGTACTATTATATTTGTTGTTTTGGGGGTGTTGTGGTGTTTTTTGTTGTTGTTGCTTGTATCATTTTTGTCTGTCATTTGTTTTGGATTTTGTTCACTTTTTTCCAACTACTCACGTTTTTAAATAGCTCATTTTGAAACATTTTTATTTTTCCAACGGAAAAACTCAGATCCAGGAAATAATGACTTAGGGAAGGCCAAACCATGACACATTGTATTATAAAATGCTGTGCAACTAAACCTGTTGTTATTCTAACCTTTAGCCTACTCCCTTTCCTTCACAGTGCTTCATCTGGTGCTAACCATTTATGGTTTGGCCCACTGGTTGGTTGTATGTTTTCCAAAAGGCTGTTGCTAGTGATTTCTTAGCTCTTAGCTCTGGAAGCAGGCCTGCGCTCCTGGAATCCTTTCCCAAGCAACAGCAGCCTCTCATTGGTATAACCTGCCATTCCCTTTATTGCCAGTGCCATCACTTACAGTCAGAGGAGGGTTTTTACGGAGAAATAAATTTAACATCTAACAGACGTTTATTTTGTAACCTGTAGGATAGCAGAGCTTGATGTAGCTGATGAAAATGACATTAACTGGGATCTGTTAGCTGAGGGATGGAGCAGTGTCCGTTCACCACAATGGCTTCGCAGTAAATGGTGGACTATCAAAAGGCAAATTGCAAACCATAAGGATGTTTCATTTTCTGGTAATGTATTATTTGCTTTTTTAAGTTCTTCCTTTTTCTTACCCTGTTTACTCCTTAGTAGTGAGAGGTTAGATGTTCTTTGCCTCAACTAAAGAGATACCATGGCAGATTTTTTTAGCTAAATTTCTGCCCTATTTTTTTTGAGTACTCATTTTTTCTTCCCTAGAGTAGAGTTAATGTGATCTGTAATCCCCAAAGTCTGAAGACAAAAAAATACACATTTCCACTCCAACTATGAAGAGGAAATTAATTTTACATATACAGTCATACACCATAATGATGTTTCAGCTAACAACGGACTGCATATACAACAGTGGTTTCATATATTTTACTAGACCTTCTCTATGTTTAAATGACACAAATACTTAACCATTGTGTTACAACTGCCTGCAGTATTCAGTAGAGTAACACAGTCTACAGGTTTATGGCTGGGAGCAATGAGCTAAACCATGTAACATAGGGGTGGAGTAGTGTATACCTACTGTGTAGTTTTGTGTAAGTACACTGTGTGATGTTCATATGACATATTTACTCAGAACCTGTCCCCGTTAAGTGACTCATGCCTATATTTTTGTTTTGTACAAAGATCTTCTGAAAACAAGTCTAAATCAGCTTTTATGAGTTAAATAATTTGTTATTTAGAGAAATTCTATGGTGATTTGTTGAACTAAGGCTCTGCAAATTTCTTACTTTATTTGTTAATATGGGTGTATTTAAGGCATAGCATATTTTTCATTGCATTGCCTATGTAGTAAACTTAAGTTGTTTGATTAAGGTTTTCCCTTTTTTTTGAGACAAGAGTCTCACTATGTAGTCCTGGGTAGAGTGACGTGGCGTCACAGCTCACAGTAACCTCAAACTCTTGGGCTTAAGCGATTCCCTTGCCTCAGCCTCCCAAGCAGCTGGGACTATAGGTGTCCTCCACAACACCATGCTGTTTTTTATTATTGTCATCGTCATTGTTGTTTGGCAGACCTTATCTGGGTTTGAACTCTTGTCCCATGGTGTATGTGACTGGTGCTCTAGCTGCCAAACTGCAGGTGCTGAGCCTTAATTAAGGTTTTCCAATTTAGTCCCTTTATAGCATTCCAATTTCCATTTTCCTAAGGAACATAAAATGCTGAGGAACCAGATGAGAATGTGATTTCTAAAAATTAAAACACTGAGTTATAGAGGATTAGTATCGTTTATGAATACAGCAAAGTCTAGAATTGGCCTCTTTGTGCAAGAACGCATGGTAGCATATTACTCCTTGGAAAAGATTAGCTGCTACCTTTAGAATAAGGAGACCCAGTTAAGTCCCTGTGAGTCTTTGGGTGGAAAGACTATTGATTTAGAAAATGAAAATAAGCTGCTTAACATTGCAAATACTTTTCCTGAATAACAAGAATTCTATCAGAAAATGTCTTGTTTCCATGTTCTTGGCAGTGTTTACTTTTTTTTTGCATTATAAATCTTAAGGTAGCAAGAACAATAATATAAAGAATTTTAAAATTTTGTTATATTGGATAGTATTTCCAAAAATTTCCAGATAGGTGGTTGTTGTAAAGTATTTTATTTTCACATCCAATATGCAATTATTTATTCCAAGTAATTTCCCTCCTTACCTCCCTCCCCAACCTCTTAAGCTGCTTACACAGTGATCTGTCAGAGAATCAATGTTCTTTTTGTCTACCCATCTCCCTTCAGTCTTAATAAAAGGTCTTAAACAGTTACATGAAAACCAAAAAAACAACCCAACGTTTTTGGAGAATAAATCAGGATCTGGAGTTCCAAACAGTAATTCCAATTCCGGGGTACAACATGTTCAGATAAGAGTTGCCCGCTTGGAAGATAATACAGCCATCTCTCCTAACCCCATGACAGCATTGCAGATTCCAGTCCAGATCACCCATGTCTGTAAGTGTTTGACCCTCATGACTCTTTGCTGTCTGACATACATAAGTTAGTTAATGGCTCTGACACCTTTTAGTCTTAAATGTTAATAGAAGTTTGCCCAAGGTGATGAATTGTTTATCTAATGCATTTTATGTTTAGCTCAGTTATTTGCACAAAGAATGATACATGTCAGGAAGGACTTAAAATGATCTGCCCCCAACCATTGTAAACCATTTTAAGCTATCTTAATTCCTATATTTTATAAGCAGTGATTTAGTATGAATAATCATTAAAAATAAAAATTAGAATTGACGATTAAAAGAAAACTACCTTAGGCTGTCAGTCAAGCAAAGAAATAGAGTTGACAAACTGGCATTTCATTTGTAGTAATTTCACCCACCAGAAGACACACAAATTGGGATGGATTTGCTATAGTGTCTAGAAGGAATGAATTTGAGCAAGGTTGAGATAGATTCTCTCTCTAGAAAGAGTAAAAGGCCAGTTTCCTATGGGGTACTACTGTTTTACTCTTCTGTTGTCATCAGCCTCTGACAGTTCTGTGTTTAATGAGGTTGTGTGACTCCAGCAGTTATTATGGGGGCCCGGGGGGTTTCTTTCTTCAGCTCTATATCAAGTTAATCCTCTCCCTTTCTGTCAGTCTTGGAATTTTAGTGATTAAAAAAAGAAAAAAGGAGCCAGGTGCAGTGACTTAGGATTGTAATCCTAGCACTTTGGGAAGCTGAGGAGGAAAGATCACCTGAGGCCAGGAGTTTAAGACCAGCCTGAGCAACAAAGCAAGACCACCATCTCTACAAAAAGAAAAAAGAAATTAGCTGGGTTTGTGGTAGTGCACACCTGTAGTCCCAGCTTTTTAGGAGGCTGAGGCAGGAGGATCACTTGCGCACAGGAGGTTGAGGTTGCAGTGAGCGTGCTCACACCACTGCACTGTAGCCCCAGCAACAATGCAAGATGCTATCTCGAGGAAAAAAAAAGGAACAAGAATGAAATTCTCAGAATCACACACACATTATTCACTTTTATCTCACTTTTTTTTTTGGTCTACATAATGCTGTTTGTTCCAATTACTGTTACTGTCAACCAAGTGATTACTAGAATTTTGAGTGGGATAGTTTTTTGCAGGATTCTGTGTCTCTTGCTCTCTCCCCACAAAAAATGTCAGTAATACCCTCCAACCATTATGCCAAACAGAAATACACATTTCCAAATGTACCCTCGGATCCCCTGGTTGAGAATCACTGAAGCACTAACTGTATATGCAGTAACTGTCAAAAGTTATTTCAGAGACATTTAAACTTTTAGCAAGAAATGTAACTATAGTAGGAGTTCTATAATCCACCCATTATTTCTGACTAAAATCTCATTTGGTTTTTTAGGTTAGGGTATAGGGACCAGGAAATTATGTAATGGGTCAGATAGTAAATATGAATATTTTTGGCTATGGGGACCCATATAGAATATGTGGGATATTCTTCATTTTTCAGTCACCCTTTACAAATGTAAAAACCATTCATAGCCTTGAGCCACATTTGTCCCCAACCATGTTTACTCACCTTGACTTAGACTATTTATCTGAAATCACTTCTAATTATTATAGCTATGATTTTAAGGATTCATCAAATAGTAAGAGAAATAAAATGAACCCAAATGCATTTCTTTTGGAAAGGGTATTACATTCCTTTCACATGCTGAGAATTATAGTCAGAATGTAATAAACTAACGAGAAACACCAAATTTAATGTCAATTCTAAAACATTTTTCATGTGGATTTACCTGTAAGTATGGCTGAAAGCACCAAAAGAAATCACATTCCCTTTTTTTTTTTTTTTTGGAGATAGAGTCTCACTGTGTTGCCTTAGGTAGAGTGCTATGGTGTCATAGCTCTCACAGCAACCTCAAATCTTGGGCTTAAGCAGTTCTCTTGCCTCAGCCTCCCAAGTAGCTGGGACTATAGGTGCCCACCACAAGGCCCGGCTATTTTTCTGTTGCAAGCTGGGCAGGGCTGGGTTCGAACCCGCCAGCATCAGTGTATGTGGCTGGCGCTGTAACCATTGTGCTATGGGCTCCAAGCCAGAAATCACATTTCTTCTAGTTAGTCGTAGTTCTATAGAACCTTGAACAGACATTGATCAAATGTGGGCCTCAGTTAACACATTTACAAAGTGATTATACGCTTTGATCTCTAAAATGCTGTTTAGTCCACAAAATGTTGTCTTGAAAGAATACAATACTATGTTACATTTATATCTTTTGATCCTCATAACTATAGTAGGTGGTCAAGACAGATAAAAATCTCCGAACATTAAATTGTTTGCCCAAGTTTACATTGCTGAGAAGTGATGTCACTGTAACTAAAGCCTAGTGTGTTTTAGGACTATTAATCCAGGTATCTATACTGCTTTACCAGAACGTTGAAGAAAATTAGTTTTTACCAAGTTTCTATCTCTGCGGGTTGGCCTTAGTATGTTCCTCTTACTTCCTAACATTAGAAACATTCTATGACATAGATGCTGGGGGGTAGTTAGCAGACCTTTTTTTTTCTCTCTCTCTCTTTCTTGAGACAAGAGTCATCGCTCCGTTGCCCAGGCTAAAGTGTTGTGGTGTCAGCCTAGTTCATAGCAACCTCAAATTCCTGGATTCAAGCAATCCTCCTCCCTCAGCCTCCCAAGTGGCTGGGACTGCAGGTGCCTCCCACAACACCCGGCTAATTTTTCTATTTTTTTTTTTAGTAGATACTGAGTCTCCCTCTTCAGCTAGTCTCAAATTCCTGAGTTCAAGCAGCCTTCCTACTTTCAGCCTCCCTGGGTTACAGGCATGAGCCACTGCGTCAGCCAGCAAACTTTCTCTATAAACAGACAGACAGTAAATATTTTAAGCTTTATGGGCCATATGGTATTTGTCACAGCTTCTCTGTTGTTACAAGGTGAAAGCAACCATAGAAAATACATGGACAAATGGGCAGGGCTGTGTTCTAGTAATACTTTACTTACAAAAACTGACAGCAGGCTGGATTTGGCTAGGGGCCTTAGTTAGCCAACCCCTGTTCTATATTCCATCTCAGACAAATCCTGACAATTGAGTATGCTGGAAAATTTTACATTTCCAAAGCATTTTATTTATTGTTGTCCTTTCACAGCTTCAACAGACTCCCCTGCTGCTACTGTTGACTCGGAAACAATAACACTAAACAGTGGAACACTACAGACATTTGAGATTCTTCCAGTGAGTAACACTTCAGTACCATTTTTGTGCATAAGAGTATTTGGTATTGTCTTTAGAAATGTTATCATATAATCGAATGAAATAGATTTGAGGCCAGCTAGAGCAGACATAAATCAGGCTTCTATTTTTTTAATCTGCTTTTTTATTTGTATAGAGGCCAAAATGATGGTTATTGCTACATATATATTAAAGTGATAGTACAAATTTATAGTATGCACTGAGTCATAAATTTATAACCAAAACTTCATATTGGTTATTAGAGGAAAAGTTTGTGAACAAACTAATGGTGAGCTGTTTAACAGCATTCATCCAGTAAAGTATCATTTTGTATTATTTTTAGACAGTCTCACTCTGTTGCCTTAAGTAGAGTGCTGTGGCATCCTAGTTCACAGCAACCTTGAACTCTTGGGTTCAAGCAATCCTCTTGCCTCAGCCTCCCAAGTAACAGAACTATCAGTACCCATAACAACACCTGGCTAGTTTGTTTTTAAGTAGAGGTGGGGTCTCACTCTTGATCAGCTGGTCTTGAAGTCCTGAGCTCAGGCAATCCTCCTCCCTCAGCCTCCCAGAGTGCTAGGATTACAAGCACTGTAATCCTGCCACTGTGCCTAGCTGGTATACAAAATTTAAAAGTCTTAGTGCTACGGTGGCACCTGTGCCTCAAAGGAGTAGGCCACTGGCCCCATATACCAGAGGTGGCAGGTTGAAACCCAGCCCCTGCCAAAAAACTGCAAAAAAAAAAAAAAAAGGTCTTAGTGCAAAATGGTTTTAAAAAGCCACTGCTTTGGAAAAGTCTTAAAGTTTCTAAAAAGGTTAGACACAGGGCAGCGCCTGTGACTCAAAGGAGTAGAGCCCTGGCCCCATATACCAGAGGTGGTGGGTTCAAACCTGGCCTCAGCCAAAAACTACAAAAAAAAAAAAAAAAAAAAGGTTAGACTAGGTGTCTAATCCCAGATATATCTAAGAGAAATGAAAATATCTGTCTAGTAAAAACTTGTACATGAATGTTTATAGCTTTATTCATAATAAACAACAATCCAAATGTCTGGAACAGCTGAAAAATGGGTAAATAAGCTGTTGCCATACAAATATTATTAGGAATGAAATACTTGCTACAACATGAAGTAAAAGAAACCAGACAGCACAACTTACACATAGTATATGGCTCCCATATGAAATATGCAAAATAGGCAAATGTGTAAAGTAGATTAATAGCTGTTTATGGCTATAGAAAAATGGACATGACTGTTGATACCCTGCTTTCTCAAACAAGTAAACCTAGAATTAGTTCATATTTCATATGAGAAAGAAAACAAAAATTTAAATCACATCAAGATTTATTTCCTATGAAGGACACAGCCTGAGAGGATGACCAAGGTAGCAAAAGGTTTTCTTTCCATTTTTAGAACTTGTACTGGCAGTTTACTTAACCTTAGTCTCAGTTTCCTAATGCAGTGGTCTCCAAAATGGGAAGTATAAGATAAACCATTTGACAGGGGAAAACAGAACTATTTTTTAACCTTCCTCCCTAGTAAACAAAATACACACACACAGATATTTTGGAGGGTGTTCATGTTTTTTACTTATGGGATCACAATAAAATACTGAGAAACTTTCTCTTAATTTACTAATAGGGGATGGTAATACCTCAGATTTGTGAGAATTAAATGTACTTAACATTAAATAAAAAGTACATACATGTAAAGTATTTACAGTAATTCTAACCATAGGTGATTACTGCCAACCATTAGGATAATGATTAGCTTTCACTTTTATGGAAAGGAAGGAAAAACACTAAGGTTCCATTGACTGTTGGGCACTTTCTAATCATTTCTAACTATAGTAATTCTTACCATGAGAGGTAGTTATTATCCTCACTGAAGCAATAATGAAACCTATATTCAGAGGTTCAGTACATAAGAGAGTTGTTTTGGCTAAGTCCACAAGATTACATAAGACTAAAAAATAGACTATGTGATTTTAACCTCCAAGATCTATTTTAAGTACAAATACTTTCCCTTTTGGATATCAGGATAAACCTAACTCAGATTTTTATACAGAAGCTTATGGTCATGAAAGATTTATTAGAAAATAATTGTTATACTTCCTTTAAAAATCTTAGAAGATTATTAGTTAACCAGCTTTTCAAATAAGAAAATGTTCCTTAAGTAGAACATTGCTATTTCTCTACATTTTTCTTTTAATATAAAAAATTTTCTTAGTAAATAAGTACATTCAAGTAAAACTGGTGTTACGCCTTTTCATACAAGATAAGACTTTTTTTTCTTTTAAAGTAGAGAGATTATCAGTTTTTATGTGCTGTAGGGAAAGGATAAAGAGGGATGATCAGTTGTGCTGGGTTACCCACTCTTGCAACTGTGTTTTGGTGCCCTCAAACAAATTAGCTAAGACCAGATCACAGACATAGATGGGAGCAAAGAGCATGGTAAGTGTCTTGCCCTTAAACCTCCACGATGAGTAATGACTTGAGACAAATAGTAAAGATAATGATACACTTCATTTTATTACCTGTTCATGCCTTCACAATTGGTAAGTACGTAAAGTTAGGACCTATTTTGTGTATAAAAGTAGACTTAATCATAGTCTGTTGAACTTTTTCTTTTTCCTTTAGTCTTTCCATTTACAGCCCACTGGCACTCCAGGCACCTATCTACTTCAAACAAGCTCAAGCCAAGGCCTTCCCCTAACTCTGACTGCTAGTCCCACAGTAACCCTGACAGCTGCTGCTCCTGCTTCTCCTGAACAGATCATTGTTCATGCTTTATCCGTATGTTACATAAATTACTTACTTTTAAGTACCTGTTATAGACTAGGATTAGTTGGTACACAATATAAGCATCAAACCATGCGGTAGATCTAAACTATTCTTCCTACTGCTTTTGTCCAAGCACAACGTTTTATACCATCATTCTGCCTATATTGGGATCTCTCCCTCATCCTCTGTATCCTCTAATATGAGATGGATGCACACTGGAATAGGTCATTAGGAGAGCAAGGGCCCTAGCAGGCAAAGAACAGGAGTTCTAGGAAAAGTGGTAACATTGCAGTTCCAGAGCTGAGGTATGGGAGGGGATAGTGGGATATCACCTATAAATGTCATTTGTTGTACAACTTATATCTAATGGGTACTTTGTTGTTTTCCCATTGATAGTTTTTTTTTTTTTTGATGTTTTATAGCCGGAACACTTACTGAACACAAGTGACAATGTCACAGTGCAGTGTCACACACCAAGAGTCATCATTCAGACTGTTGCCACAGAGGACATCACTTCTTCCATATCCCAAGCAGAACTGACAGTAGATAGTGATATTCAATCATCTGATTTTCCTGAGCCTCCAGATGCCCTAGAAGCAGATACTTTCCCAGATGAAATTCATCACCCTAAGATGACTGTAGAACCATCATTTAATGATGCTCACGTATCCAAATTCAGTGACCAAAATAGCACAGAACTGATAAATAATGTTATGGTCAGAACAGAAGAAATCTCTGACACCGACCTTAAACAAGAGGAGGAATCGCCCTCTGATTTAGCCAGTGCTTACGTTACTGAGGTAAGTTGCAGTAAGGGAACAGCTGAATGGGTTCTTACCTTGAGCTTCAAACCTATAGTTTGGAAGGAACTTAGAAATAATTTAGAAGGATATTCTCTGGTACCTTCCTTTTTTCTTGAGGCATACATAATAAAGTACAAATCCCTACCTCTGACGTCACAAATATCCATGAACCAACCATGTTGTTGACAGAAGTGCAAGCACAGATCTTGAGGCAGTCAGAAGGAATGAGAAAACTATGTTCTGTCTTAGCACAGTTCTCACTAAAACTTGTCCCTGTCTACCTGCAACAGATTGTGAGAAATGTTTCTTGGAACCCATAAAAGCATTTTCCTGAGTGGTTAGTAACAAATCTTTGTGGTTCAACCCAAATTCTTCTATATCTGGTGACCTGTAACTGAGTTAGTTCTCTTATTTTTTAATAACTAGTACATTAGATTCTGAGGTCATTAAAGTTAACTATTGTCTGTTTTTGAAGATATTAACGTTTCATTTCTGTTCTAAATTTAAAATGGGTATGTTTGAGCATTAGGTCCTGTCTAATCTTACATGTATTTGGGATCTTAAGGAAATGTAATAAAGAATGAGTCAGAATCTTTTTTTCTTTAATATTGTTTAGGATTTAGAATCTCCTACTATAGAAGAACAAGTTGATGAAACAATTGATGATGAAACAATACTTATTGTTCCTTCACCACATGGCTTTATTCAGGCATCTGATGTTATAGATACTGAATCTGTCTTGCCTTTGACAACACTAACAGGTACTGTAATACAGCTCTTAACATGTGCTTGATGATGAGTTTTTCTTAAAGGGGAAGAAATCAGGCAGTCAGATATTTAATTCAGTTGTTTTAGTCTTGCTTGATCCAACAATAAAGATACTAGTGTTCTTACACTTAGGTAGACTACTTTAAATTCTTGACATAATTGAAAGAATAAATATGTACATTTAAGACTAACTTGAAACTATTTCAGATCCCATACTCCAACATCATCAGGAAGAATCAAATATCATTGGATCATCTTTGGGCAGTCCTGTTTCAGAAGACTCAAAGGATGTTGAGGATTTGGTAAATTGTCATTAGGTAATTCTTAGAACAGGCAGTTCAAGCAAAGAAGCCACACTGTTAATCACAACATCTTTAAGGAAGTAGAAACAACTTACCTTCGGGAGGTTTAATTTACCATTTGAAATAGTTAAAAGTGCTTAAGCCACACACATTGTTGCTGCTATGACTTTTTATCTCCTTTAAACATGTCATCTGAGGTCCAGTTCTGACAGTGTGTAGTTGAGTGGACTATGGGAGTTTGAATTGAACTGTGTAGATCCTTATGCTAAGTGTTTTTTGTTAGTAAGCAATTTCATTCATTCACTTCGGCTGCTGAGAAAAGTTTGAAGTCACTGAAGTTTTAATTGCTCTAGTTTCAAAACAGTACTATTCATCTCTAAGTGTCAGACTCAAGTAGGCCGGGTAGTAATTTTAAAGAAGTCACATCAACAGGTCTATCGATGACCTTCAAAATTAAATACCATTACTTTGAGATTAAAACAGAGATGTAGGATGTTGTGGTTACTTCTGATAACCCATTGTTGGCAGTAGAAGCTGATTTAGGCAGGGTAAAGAGGAAAGCATTAAAAGTTAACATTCACTACAGGTTTTTTACTACTTTAAAGGGAATATGGATAAGTATAGTAACAAAACCCACCAGAAGCTAAGCAATTTTCACCCCATCAGAAACCACTGTCAATAGTTTACAAAGTTAGCACTTTGAAGTAAAATTAAACTAAATGGACAAGGAGAATGTTGCCTATCCTTGATACCATGAGCATTTATTACATGTTTAGCAATATATAATTACCAGAAAAAGTTGGGGTATTAAGAATTTGCCTTTCATTTAGTGCATTAACTGGCAGGGTACAATATACTTCCTCTCCAGGCAATTTCAAAAAACAAAACAAAAATTCCTTCTGTAACAAAAGGAAACAAATCAACAGTCATTCCTATCCTAGAAGAGGGTAAGCCAAAACTAGCCATTAGAGCTTTTATGAACATGACCCCTATAGAAAAGCCACAAAAAAAAAACTTGTATAAATTATTTTATTTATTATTGTAATTAGATCTTCACAATCAAAGTTGTCTTTTCACCATCTGTGTTTTGTTAATGTGAAATTTAGTTGTAGTTATAAACAAAAGTTGGTTGCCTAGGGAACAATTGTATATTCAATTTAACAGAAATAAAAGAATATTTGTCTTAAATTTCAAGACTGTTTGTTACATAGCCTTTTGCCATGCAGTTAATTATAAAAAATTTTAATCTCAAAAGTGAAAGTTGGAATATTGTAAGTGCAGCATCAGCTCCTAAAGGAAAAGCAAAATGATCTATATGTCTCCCTTGCAAAAGGGAATTTAGATTTACAATTAACATGAAAATCATGTATCAGGCTTCTGCAGGAGATTCTTCAGCATACCTTATCCAACAATTACTCGCTGTCCTATTTTGTCAAATTGAAGAGTCCTGGTAAGTATTTCTCCTGGGTAGCCTCACCTTCCCACATCGTGGAAGTATAGGTTTGCACATATACATAACATGATGATAGAAAATATGATATAGTAAATGAGTTTTCTAAATTTTGGTTCTAAGTCTCCTTGTCGATACCAGTAGATCTACAAAAGAAGAGATAAAAAGTTCAATAGCCCCTGGGCTATTAATTTAATATACAACTAATTCATTTTAAAACCTTTAATGACACAGTCACTATAATGATTTCTGAGACCAGTGTACCCAGAATTTATTTTTGATAATTTAAGTAGTACCGTCTGAGTTACCATGTCCAAGATTATACTTTATCTCAAAAAAAAAAAAAAAAAAGAAGAAACTGAAAAAGTAGAACTGAGTCTTGCTTGGTCACCCTCCATTAAGTCCCATGGCATCATAGCTCACAGCAACCTCCAACTCTTAAGCTCAAGTAGTTCTCTTGCCTCAGCCCCCTCAGGATTACAGGCACCCCCCACAACAGCTGGCTTTTCTCACTCAGGCCATACACCTGCCTCGGCCTCCCAAGTGTTGGGATTACAGGCGTGAGCCACCACACCTAGCCCTCAGTTTACTTTCTTCTATGTTCAAAACCTATATAGTTCACTAGTCATTTGGCTGGGTATCTGTAAACATACAGAGTAAATACTGGAAGGGAGAACATCTTTTAAATTTGTGAAATTGAGTCAGATTGCCAATATAAAATACAGTTTTCATAATGTGCATACAATAGAACTACGATAAGTTTACCACCAAAGGGACTATAAAAAATTGGTCAACATAAGGAACTAGGCCTATTGTATTCATAACATACATGTGGTGCATGTCTGGTCAATAAAAATTAGGTCAACTTCAAGAAGTAGTCGACTATGGAGGTTCTACTGTATCTGAATTAAACTTGCTCATTTTAGTCACTTAAGGCTTTCAGGTGTGGGGACAGGAAGGCTTCCCAATGTGGGTTGAGCCAGTTCTTCCTTTCAGGTCACAGGAATATGGCAGGATTGATGAATTAGACCATATGGGAGATACTCCTGGTTTAATTTATCATGATTTAAGCCCTATGTACATCAAAACAATTGTTTTCATGAGTTTATTGTTCTGATTCTGCTCAAGGGACATGAAAACAGTCAACTTAATAAGTGACTCCATCTTTGTTTCTTTACTGTAAAAGAACCTATTTGTAATAAAATCAAATCTTTTTTTCCCCCCCAGTTTTGGCTGGGGCTGGGTTTGAACCCACTACCTCGGGTATATGGGGCTGGTGCCCTACTCCTTGAGCCATAGGCACCGCCCAAAATCAAACATTCTTACAAGGACACAGCTGCAGCTTTAGGTCTTCTAGGAGATTTTGGTGTTAAATTACTTCCATTTGGGGAGATAAGCACATAGATTAAAACACAATAATTTTTGTGATTGTTAGAAATCCAGAGTGTTGGCTCGGCACCTATAGCTCAACCGGCTAAGGCGCCAGCCACGTACACCTAAGGTGGCGGGTTCGAATCCCCAGCCTGG